TGGCTACACCTGAATCCACTGATAATGTAACTACTTTCTGCAATTGTGCTGCCACATAGTCAGCACTCCTGTGTTCAGAGCATGAGTGCCTTGGCGGGATTTCTGATCCTGCCTGCATTGGCTCTGTTGCTGCTACCAAATACAGTTTTTAACTAAGTGTCTATTATTCTATCGACCAATAAAGACTTGGGAGTCAGATGAAAACCTGTTAGCTCAGAGGGCTGAGAAGCAACTAGCTGACCTTCCTTTTGCTTGGAGACCCAGTAAAAGATCATCTCTCCATTTGTCCCTACCTAAAGAAGACCATGACTCTCTATGTCCCTCCCTACTCCTTCCTCTCTCTCTCTCTTTGTCTTCCTGAGTCCTCTGTACTCTCTATGGCTAATTCTTGTCAACTAGTCACTGGCTTTGCTCCCTGATCCAAGGTTGATTTTATTAACACAGTCTAAGGGATTCACAACGCAACCAAATATCATGCAACAAACCATATCATTGGTCTATATTGTACTATGACGTGAAATATCTGTTTTTTTTTAATATGGGGTTGCCAGTGGAAGCAAGATATACAAAGAATTAGTCTCAAAGTCACATAGTAAATCAGGTTAGGAAATATATAACATAATGCATTCTTCTTGCTTCTTTTCACAAAGAAAATTGTATATTCATGATTCACATTCTCCACTACCCTTTGGCACGTTTCTTTTGTATTCATTCATATGGCATCTCTGAGTAATACAGTAATCTCTTTGCCCAAATTTAATGGAATTGCATATCATTGGTTTGCAAACCTTTTTTAAGAATTCTGTAACAAAGCACTAGTAAAACTTACCTTCCAAAGAGGACTGTGTAGTTGTAGGTGCTTCAGTATTGATTATACGTGGTTTAGAGGAGTCTGCAAGGATAAAAGGAGCCTGGTTTAGAAATCTGATACCCTTAGATAAACAATTGAAGATACTAGTAAAATTAGGAAATAGGTCGGAACTCTTAAGCCTTCCCTCATGATACTGGCAACTTCTATTGCATGTTCATTATTCCTCACACACCATTCTAAGGTAAAGTTCATAATTCAAGTTTAACAGACTTTCAGTGAATCTGTATCTAGAGTTTAGGGGGTCTCAAAACTTCGTTGAGGAAATGCATTTTAATAATTACTAAATTTTAACTGAAATATAATGATTTGTTCATGAGAAAAATTTCAGAAGTATAACAAAGAAGGTGTTAGTTGTTGACTTCAATGAAAATGGTCAAGTAATGTCTACTAAAAATTTACCCCCTCACAGAAATAAAGGCATAGCTGAAATATTTTGATATTGTCATTTTCCCCATAATTTCAGAAATTCGTTCATAAGAACTTACAGTGTTTATGGAAGAAATACGGCCCAGTTTTAGTAATAACATGAAGCTCTTTGGCATTTCAACTTAACTCAGAGTTAATAAAAATTAATACCCTATTCCAGGTGCAAGAGAAATCATCTCATTCCTTTCAAGAAACATTACCTTTATTTGATCTATCTAATGATTTCTTGAAAAATGTGACTTCAAATACTTGTTTTAGTTAGCATCTGTACTAAAAGTCTCTCTCCACAGCTAGGAGGAAATTTGTCACACAGTTTGGGGAAAGAAGAGAGTAACCAATAATTTTAAAAGGAA